CCCCCATACCATCCCTTTTAAAAATGGAAAGGGGAAAATGCTGTTTGGGAATTTATTAAAAATTTTTTTCGCCTTTAAAAGATTAATTTACATTATTTTTTTGGGGGGATTTTTTCAAAAAAAAAATTTTTTTAAAAAATTTCGGAAATTTGTTTTTTTGGAAAAAATTAATTTTAATTTTTTAATTTTATTTTAAATTAAAAATAAAATCCGTGTTTTTATTTTTTTAAAGCGGGATCCAGTAAAAAGGGAAAAGGGAGGGGCGGGAAAACCCTTTTTTTTTCCCAAAAAAAAAGGTTGGGAAAAAAAAAGGGGAATTTTGGGGGTGTTTTGGGAAAATTTTTTTTTTTTTTCTTTTTTTTCATGATAAATTTAAACCCATTTTTCAATTTTTTTTTTTTTTGTTTTTTTTTTTTTTTCTCAAAAAATTTTTTTCAAAACTAAAAATTTCTTTTATTTTTTTTCCAAAATTAAAAGATAAAAATATAAAAAACCCAAAATTTTAAAATATACTTTTTGGGTGGGTGCGCAAAAAAAAAATATAATTTTTCTTGTTTTTTTCGCCTAAAAAACCAATTTTAAATTTCGTAAAAAAAAGTTTTTTATTTTATTAAATTTAAAAATTTTTTTTATTTTTAAAAAAATTTCCTTGGGGGAAAGGGGCCTTTTAAATTAAAAGTTGGGTTTAAAAATTTTTGGCCCAAAACCCCTTTTTCTTTTAAACTGTTTTTAAAATAAAATGTTTCCCCCTTTTTTTCGTAAAAATTTTGTATTCTGGTTTTGTTTTAAAAGTAATCCTTTTAATGTTAAAAAGTAAATGTTTCAAGCAATAAAAATTTGATTAAAATTTAAAAAGATTAAAAAAACAACCCCAAAAAAAAAACCCTTTTAAAAAATTGGGTGACTCCTTTTTTATTGAAACCCGTAAATTTTAATGAAAAAGTGCAACATCCTTCATGATCCCTAGCACCGGCTTCAGTGGTACTTAGTACTCAATTTTCAACACTTAACGTGATGCAATCAATGACCTCGAAGGACCAGAAAAATGTAACAACACTGAAGTGTACGGGGCAACTTTGTACAGCTGCTAAGGTTTCGATACAAACAGAAATGTTAGCAAATGCTTGCATGACATTGACATTATAATAGCAACTCTTAATCTTCTAACGTGTTTTTGGAATATTTTAGCACACAAGTTGGCGGTATATATCAACAAACCTTTAGCATTTTATCCTATTGTATTTCATAACAATGACATAGCTTTATGCTCCAATATTACAAGTATAGTATATCTAACAAGATATATAACTTTCGGAAATTATTTCACTTCCAATGAAGCTAAGATTTACATCAGGTGTTAGCAAATTTATTTGGTAGCATTAGATTAATTGTTGATCATGTTTCTGTAATAAATGGATGTTTCTTGATGTTTTTATATTGAGATAAGCTTGCTTTGGTTTTAAAATCTAATATATTTTTTAATCTGAGATTTACTTGCTTTTATCTTTTATAAGATATTTTACTACCCTCCACCCTCTGACAAAAGGGGTTGTCTTTAAGGATTAAGGCATCAGAATTGCAGTCGCCGTTTATCCCTTCGTGATCGTGAGAGGCTACTAAATGGGTTTGAATAGCTGGAATCTATAGATCTCTTAGCTCCAGCAGGCAAGACACTTTTGAACCATGGTGTTGATTGTTTTGAGTTTGTGACACATATTTTAGCCAAATTCATCATCCTTTTACGGCGTCATTTGACCTAAATTGTGTTGGTGTACAGTAAAACAAAACTATACTATTTAAAATATTTAAAGAAAGTCATATTTAAATGAAGCGTTAATCTTTGTTCCGGAAAATGTATAAAACATTTTTTAATGGAAATCAGAGGTCTAAATCATGTATATGAAATTATAATATAGCTTTACCCGGGATATTTCGACGTATAGAGAATGTCTAAAGAAGAAGAAGAAGAAGAAAATATAAGTTTAAATCCTCAATTTTGAGAGGCGAAAATATGGAAATATAATAATAATCTGGAAACAAAGTGAAGTTAATTATTCTGCGACGTTTCAAGCAATAAACATCTTTAATTTAAAATGAATGCTTAAGCATCTGATCCATGTATACTATATTTAAGTATGTACTTATTCTATTGCATCATTTCTTTACATAGTATAATGTGTATACAGTTTACTTAATCATATATAGCTGCATAACTATGTTGATCCCGTTGTTTTTCAGAAATGTGTTTTAATGTATGTGTAGTGTAGGAAAAGTATGTATATATATATATATTAACCATGCATTTCGAATTGTATTTTTCATATGTTTTTGAAAAATAACAAACAAAAAAAACAACAAAAAAACAACAACAACACCAATTCCATTACCTATTATGCAAAAACTGTGCTAATAATGTTCAAGAAAACTTTTAATAGATCATAAAAGTAAGTTTTATGAGTTTATTTTAGACGGTAGGTTATCATAAAACTATGTTCTTTGAAACTAGACTATCATTATATTTTTCCTGTCTGTCAGTGTTTTTTTTTCATGCAACTCATTTTGTCCATTTTCTTTGCAATGTAAATTGTATTTTCTATAAAATTGAATTGAAGTGCTTCTATTATTTTTGTTTATATATTCCACACTGACAGTTTTATCCCTGACAATGGTAGTCAAATGTTGAAATATTATTGTATCAATACATTATTTTTTTCAATTAAAACGAATCACGCAAAACAAAATACAATTAGAACGACGCTGGTATTTATGATAACTTCAATTGCCAACAGTAAAGAATTTTGCAGTGAAATCAAATTAAGCTTTTTTTGTTCAGTTTAGGTATTTTTATGAGTCACAGAGACAGTATGAAGTCTCTACATAGAGGGTATTTCAGCTTATACAGCCGTAAACATTTGATTATAATATTACCAGTTGTGTTTCACAAAACGTAATGAATACGTGTAGTCTTAAAATAGTCGTCGAGCCGAATTTATAACTGAAACTTCATTGAGCACGTGTAGTCTAAAAATAGGAGAAATAGGAGTCCAGTCGCTTCATTATAAAACGGAGTTTCTCAATATTGTTAAGTGTTATGTATGAAAGCGTCCTGGTGCCAATTTAACATGTTCTATAAAAAGATAACCCCTTCGCAGGAGAAAACAAAGTCTAATAAGGAGTTAATAACTCCCAAGTAGAAGATGATAAAAAAACTAATAAGAAGTTTATACCTTCTACGTAGGAGATAAACAAAACCTATTTAGGAGTTTATAACTCACGGACATCAATTAAAATCGAAATGCCTGTCTAACTTCTGCTTTGATATTGACCCTTGAAAATAATATATTGATATTGCTGTATCAATCGTTGTTCTTTCCTTCAAATCAATTATATACTCGTTTCAGAGTTTATCATATGCTTCAAAAAAATAATTTTGTATGATTTACTAAATTTTCATTTAAAAGACGTAGTTGTATTTTCATTGTAATCAGTAATTTGGTTCCGCTATTACATAATGCGCTAAGTATACTAGTGGCGAGTGGTATCCATTTTCATTATGAATGAATGCGGACAAATGACCTTGTATAAAACCCAAGTCAAAAGCAGAGCTAAATCGTTGGTTCCACGAAAATGGAAATTAAATAAGTATCCTACTAATGCTTCATTTTTCGATCGCTTTTTAAGCACCTGTCATAAGCACCTCAATAATCATATGAATGCTAGAAATGATAAAAAAGGTGTATCAAACTTATGTATATGTGTTTATGCACTTAAATTTCATAAGAATGTGTAAAAAGTAAATAGAAGTAGAAAATATGCATAGAAAAATTTACAATTCCAGCTATCAAAATATGTTGAATGATTCTAAGAAACAGACTACACATTATATATAGTGTATATTAATTCAATTAAATCTTCAAGATTATAAAAAAATCCATACCAAAATTCAAATAAGCATACTTAGATTTTCCAAATCTTCATACTTAAGAGAAGCATTATTGTTTGCAGTGTTTAAACATTCACAATCAGTCCCTCCATATGTATGATTTTCATTTGCAAAAAAAAAAATCCGTGAAAAATCGGAAATACGATGGTGAAGAGTCCATGTAACGGAAACTCGACATTATTTTGAAATAACGAAACCACCATGGTGAACAGTCGAAGATAAGATGATGAAAAGTCGAATATACGATCATAATGAAAAATCGATGTAACGAAGCCAGGATGATGAAAACTCGATATAATTTCGTGCTTTTTCACCATAGTATTTTTGACCTTTCACCATCGTGGTTTCGTTATATCGGCAATTCGCCATCGTACTTTCGACATTTCATATGATCGTGGTTTCACTATTTCACCATCGTACATTTGTACTTTCAAGTTTTCTTTATCGTCTATTCACCTTCCTGTGAAGCATGTGCACTGAAAGATAATCTATGTAAAGATGTAACGTTTAAAATTTAGCAAATTCACAATTAACATACCTTATGCTATAATCATGATCCAAAGCCATTAACAATATTATTTACGCTGGTGAAAGGTCGAAATTACGATACTGAAAATACGAAGATACTTCGAGTTTCCAATATCGTGGTTTCGTTCTTTTAGACTTTATATCATCGTACTTTCGATTTTTTATCATCGTGGTTTCGTGTTTTCTTTGTTTCGAGTTATGTGCGTGTGTGTCACGATGGCCTAAACGGTACACCGTACAAATAACTGTGGTCTTGTTAGCTGTCTGGCGCAGTTTTTGACTCAGAACAGTATGCAGTTAAATGCAATAACACTTTATAGTAAATAGTTTAGCTATAAATACATATTTGATGTACAATATTCTTGATAATTCAACTATTAAATTATGTAAAAAAAAATAGTAAATTCAAATAATTTTACCCCAATACAGGAAGTTTAAGTGATAGTTACAGGCAAAAAAAAAAAGACACAACAAAAATAAATCATTAGAGCGACTATAGCTATTTAAGGCGCGTAGGCACACGTATTGTTAAGTTCATTATTGATTATTACATTTAAGACAGACAGTATACAGCCAACAACGTAAATAGAATACTTGATTTAAACTTATCATTTCCAAAGTTATTTCACGTTTCACGTACAATAGATCACGATGGTATCGATGGATAAGAGTTTACTTTGTTGTTTTCTCTGGATTTATGCAGTTTGTGGTAAGATATTTTTCATTTCAAACATAGCTAGGGCAAAATTAGTTGAACACGCAGATTAAGTGGGCGGAGGTGGGCATTGTAGATACAGGGAAAAGCCCTCGACTGGTGTTAAGGCAGTCATTTAAGGATATTTTGATTATTCAATTCCAGGTCATTATCATGCCACAAAAACGATGTTTGAAATACCTGAATTTTTGAAAGATTTTATATCACGGAAAATTCACATGTTAAAAATTCTCAATTTAAACGTGTAATGTATAAGTCCCGCACCGAGACATTATATTCACACATCTGCAATTACGAAAAAATAACTGTCTATTATTTTCATAAATATTGGATGGAAAAGTATCCAATATTTGAATAATGGATACTTTTAGCAAATATAGGATACTTTCTCATCTGTCAGTACAATTAACACGTAATTTTACAGATACAAAAAAGATGACGTCACAAACATGTTTAAAATGTAATTTTGCAGAGCAGTTAACTTTAATCAATCAGAAATGTTTATTACCAACAATTTTGAAAAATCATTATTAGTCATATGTAGACTCAATTTGACATTGTCGGAACACAGTATTATGATAATGTCAGTTAAACATGATGCGTTACAATTACATCACATCGACCCTTTACGTCAAAGTTCGGATAAGAACCTCGAACACAAAAGTTTCGGTCCATTTGCTCCTACGCTAAGAAACTAAACATGTAAACAAATAGTCATTTAAAGCTAGAAGTTGACTAAATTATTCTATGAGATCAAATAAAATTAAGTAAATTTATAGATATAAAAAAAACCCAGTACACTATTTCTGTACGTATTATAATGGTTGTTGAAAGTCTACCTGTTGACATTAAGTCAGATTGCAAAATTTACAAACCTGTCTGTTTTGTTCGTGATTATACAAGTTATTAATTTTGATTTTGTGTTGTAAACATTGATATGCCCCATTTCTTACGACTAGTTATAATTCAGGATTTCTGAATGTCCAACGTGCAAATTTTTATCTGTTCCCCATTACATAACAGGATGTGAAAGGAAAGTCAAGTGGGTTGGGATGTTGTATATATTTACTTCTATTCTAATGGGACTCATAAAAGAACTGCATTGTATCCTACAATTTCTAAACAAACGTTGCCGCCTTCGAATGAAAAGGTACAAATTTGTTTATTACTGTTTTTGTTAGAAATGACTGACAATTATATGTATATATAAGCTCCACAATTTCCCCTTCTTAACGTATATGTTGCTAGCAATCAAAAGCTATATAGCGAACCTGCAACTCATAGCGGGTCGATATTTTTATACAGTTTTGTGGATACAACGCAGTCCATATTGATGTATCGATCTTTTTTTCCCCTTCAGATCAATTATATACTCGTTTCAGTGTTTACCATACGAGCTTCAAAACACAATTGTGCCTTATATTTAAAACATGCAGTGGTATTTTCATTGTAATTTGTATATTGTTCCGCTATTATATAATGCGCTAATATACTAGTGACGTCAAATTGCGATTTTTTATCATTATGAATGAATGCGGACACATGACCTTGGTACACAACTTAAATCAAAAGCAGAGCTAAATCGTGGGTTCCACGAAAATGGAAATGAAATAAATATTCCACTAAGGCTTCATTTTTCGATCGCTTTTTAGTCACCTGTCATAAGCATCTCAATAATCATATGAATACTAGAAATTTCAAAAAGTGTATCAAACTTATGTATATGTGTATATGCACTTAAATGGCATCAGAATGTGCAAAGAGAAAATTAATGGAGAAAACATGCATAAAACAATTTACACATTCCAGCTATCAAAATAAGTTTAATAAATGATTCTTAAAAACTGACTACACATTATACATAGTCTATATTTATTCAATAAAACTTCTTCAAGGCCATTCGTAATTCAAGTAAGCATACCTAGAATTATACAACACAAATGTATGGTGGCTGATTTGTGTCATTAGTGTTTTCGCCCCGCGACCCCGCCAAGCGAAAAGTCGATAATAAACAAGTTAAAACGGCGGGGTCGCGGGACGAAAACACGCTAATTAGCAGGCGCACGGGCGAAGTTTGATAAATAAAACTTCGCCCGACGGGGGCGCGGGACGAGATTTAAGAAATAAAACAGCAGGGCGCGAAGCGAAAACACGCTAATAAGCGGAGGCGCTGGGCGAAGTTTTATTTATTAAACTTCGCAACGCGCCCTCGCAAATTAGCGTGTTTTCGTCCCGCGACCCCCCCCCCCCGTTAAATTTCTTTAATCTCGCTTCGCGCCCCAGCGGGACGAAATTTTATTTATTAAACTTCGCCCCGCGCCCTTGCTTATTAGCGTGTTTTTGCTCTGTGCCACCACCATTTTAACTTGTAAATTTTCGACTTTTCGCCCAGCGCCTCCGCTAATTAGCGTGATTTTGTCTCGCCACCCCGCCGTTTTATTTCTTAAGTTTCGATCCGCGCCCGCGCGGGACGAAGTTTTGTTTATTAATAATAATCCGAAGCTTTACGGAAATATCCGAACAATTTTCATTGATGAAAATGATAAGCATCCGTTATAGTGCATTTATTGACAACTCTATAAGCCAAAGCTACTTTTAACACTTTGGATGCGTTATAATTCGTTTGATGCTTGTAATTAAATAAAAATGTTTCTTTCTTTTTCATCGCTTGTTTTAAGCTGTTTTGAGAACTTTTTTGTTGTTAGGATTGTCGGAAAACGCTGCTCCAGATATTGAATGTCATCATTGCATTTCCTGATCTGCGATCAGAAAATACATAATGTCTAACACGATAACGTTTTAAGAAATTAATTTTCGAGCGAACGAAGTGAAGCGAATAACTATAACTGACTTACAGATAGCCCCGCTCATTCAAATCAAGTGCAATATGTGTAAATACAGTAAACTCTGCTTATAACGATCTCATCGGGACATTCAAATATTAGACACAATATTAGACACAATACTCGAGAGCATAATTTTTTGGAATTTAAAAATCCTTTGCTATTGCAGTTTTTGATTTATTCAATTTCTAAATTTCTCATAAAATACCATAATTATTTTGTTTCCAAACCCAGTGCTATTCGATTTTTACTATGATTAAGAATAAACAAGGTTTTCGATTTTTCCTTCCTTTTACAATGTATATTGAGTATCTTCTTTTATATTTTAGGGTGACTTTTACTAATGAAAGTTATACATTTCTTTTCATTTTAATCAAGCGTACTTCGCAGTCTTCAGGGAATGCGTTATTATGTTGAAAACCGATTATAATTATTTTACTTGAGCAAGATTATTATAGGAATAAAAGGAATAAGCGTTTTATTTGGTGACAATTATTCATGCTAAAAATCCTAAGTAGGGAACAATTACGCACTGCTATACAAGATGTCTTGAAGTACATACAATAATAAACGGTACATTCTGCGTGCCAATGAAAACGAAAGTTGAAAATGCGGGATCTATTGTTATTTTGGAGTTCGTTATAAAAGTGTAATTTTCTGTACTTTAACCTAAGTTGGGACTAAGAAATGACGTCCTTATAAGCGATAATTCCTTATAACCGTGTTCGCTATAACCGTATATTTTTATATTAAATTCGGGCCAAAATGAATTGTTCCATATAACCGGAAGTTCGCTATAACAGTTTCTGTGTTCAGTTTACTGTAGGCGGAGTCCATTTAATCAGCTCACGAATTAATTTTAAATTTAATAGATACAGTTGAGTTACTGCACTGTTTGGTACATATTCCGGCACAATTTTAACACAATAGAGCGGTTTCATTGGCGGACTGTAATGAAGAATAAAAGTGGGCATGGACACATTAATAGTAGCGTAGTGATAAGAGGGTATAGGTTAAGCCCGTCTCACACAAAACACGGTTGGACACTCGGTTTTCGTACGGTTTACTTGGTTATTCACGGGTTGACTGATTTGAGTATTGAGCTCCAACCGTGCCTGGGGATTAGTTGGTACGAGTAAGACTCGAATGTAGCACGAGTATGTACGAAAAAAGCACGGATATACTCGGTCAAGCAAGGTTTGAACATGATTTGCATACGAATACATACGAATGTTTTACGGTTCCAAGTACGGCTGATACGGTCTTGTACGATAATCACGACTTTTACTCGATTTACTCGATTTTCACAGGGTAAACATAGGATCCCGCCGACTTTTGTTCGAGTTGCTCAAATTATCAGATATTCGTGTATGTTTTGATATAATTTGAGCCATTTTGTGGCTTGGCTTCATAACTTTTCGAATTCTCAACGAAAAAAACACTTTCCAATCAAGGTTCCACCAAAATCTGGATCACTCTACCACAACTAGAAGGGCTTTCCCCCCATGATCTTTCTGACATTGACAGATGCCGCTTACAAGTTCTTATGGGAATCAGTGGCGGAGTATGGTTCAGCATCCGATTGTCAAGTGTTCAACGACTCTGAATTGAGGGAGTTGGTGGAAGGTGGTGAACTAGGCTTTCCTGGTCCAGAGCCGCTGCCAGGCCTGAACGAAAACCTTTCCTACTTCTTCCTGGCAGACAATGCATTTCCATTGAGGACCTGGATGATGAAGCCCTACTCAAGAATGGACCTTGGCTATGATGAGCCCATATTTGATAACAGACTGTCCCGTGCCAGAAGAGTGGTGGGAAATGTATTTGGTTCACTAATAGGTAGTCCAGTCATCGTCCTGAAATACATTTCTAATTTACGAAAAACGTGTTGAGGCTTGCGTCAGCAGGCTAGGTGGTGAATGCACTAGCCATCTGTGGTTTGATCATGTTAGGACGGTGGTTGTAGAAATGGAATGTGTCCCTACAGCAGAAGCAGCACATGCAATGATGCCATTTGTGGTCACTGTGGCTTTTGGAGTGCGGTGAACTGTTTGTATTGCATAGGTAGGGTCTGGCGGTAAACATTAGGATCCAGTAAAATCTGGATAGCAGCCTTGAAGTGTAGTGAAGCTGTGTCTCCTCTATGTCTCAGTGGTAGGTGGGGGGGGGGGGTTCAATTCGTGTGCCACTTGAAGGGCAATGTGGGTGGAAATTTTCTTTTGATGCATTCTAGTCTAGTCTTTTAGGCTGTTGGCAAGTAAATGTGTTTTCGTACAGAGTTCGTGCTGACGTAGAGGCCGTGAAAGATCTTGCGAGGCCGTGGGATACCTTGTTTACCCGTACTATACCGTGTCTGCCATGAATGATTCGTACTTGAACCGTATTGGTAGTATGGCGATCGTATGAAACCGTGTGTGCACTCCAGTGAATCGTACCGTGATCGTGCGATAATCGGGTGTTATTCGAGTGTTGGATGTAGGACTTTGGGACGGTCTCGAAAGATTCCATACGATTTATTTACGAGCTTGACACGGTTGGACTCACTCGTAGTGGACTTCAAATACGATTGTATGTAGGAGTCTCATACGGTATCACACGGCCTCTTAAGGTCTTTTGTTTGTTGTTAATATGATCATACACGGACATGCATCCGTGTCAGTTTTTTAAAAGTTATAAAAATCATACACGGCTTACACGGATACATTCGAATGGCCCGAGTGTAACTCGGATAACGCTACGGTTGGTTCGGTTGTATGAAGGGTTTACACGGGTGGGAAACCGTGTAAGCCGTGTATTCCTTCGTGAGATGTGCTTTAACGTCTTCAAATCTGTTATTATGCAAATTTTTATTATGTCGTTTTATTTCAGAATATATCTTTCTTTTTATAGTTTGTCTTTTTTCTCTTTTTATACCTGTAATTCGATGTTAAGCACAATTGAAAGTTATTCTTATGAAGGTTAAGCATTATTGAATGTATAATTTTTTAACAGTCATTGAACAGGTTGAATTAGTTTTACTTTGAAATCCATTCGCCACATTTACAACACTTTTGACTCATATTTATATATATATTTCCATTGTTATTTTTTCAGTCATTTATCACCATAAATATCGGCTGTGATGACTTTAACTCAGTCTGCAAATATGTGTTGAACTAAATGTTCTCGAATAGCATTATGTGTATGCAATACACGAGGAACTAAAATACAGTTAGTTGAAAAATATCTAAAAACAAAAAATCGAAAAAAATGCCCTTACCAGGAGTCGAACAAGGGTCTCTACATTCTTAAAGCGGAACACTCTATATGCTATAAGCTTAACGCATTAAAATGAGTAATTGTTTAGATGGTAAAAGACTTATGCGATAAAAAGTATGCTTTTATATAAGTATTATCGACACCCCTATTTGTCAATATTGATGTAAATAGATAATGAAAGGAAAAGAAAATTCGAGCTGTATATAGTGAAGTTCAAGTGAAATCTAAATAAGCGCATTGATCAGTTTGATATAAAATAAGGGCGATATGTCAGACTGTCAATTTACGGAAAAATACACTCTCTGTAATGTAAGACCATATGCATACATGTACCTCTAGTACTCGATGATGCAGCTTTAAAAGTGCTTACAAGAATTATATCACCAGTATCGTGACACTGTTATATTTGTAAAGTTAACTGAGATGTTAAAATTTCAAATGATTCAGCTTTAACTTTCAAATGGAATCCTATTTAAGAATGTACAAGTGAGACGTGACCCATTGAGCCGAACAGGAGTTCGTCTTAACAACCTCCTTTTCTAGAAATCATGCCCTTAATGATATTGAAATCATTTGCGATCACTGGAACCCACCATCAGCAACAGAAAAGTTAAAACTGCACCTCGAACTAATTTTAATCCAATCTACATGTGAGGATAGTTAAAAGTGAATTGGTCTATAATGGAATGTCTGTAATACAATGATAGTATTAAGTATTAACATAACAACAAAGACTTATATTTATTCATTTATTTATTTAGCAAATAATAAAGTGTTCTAGAACAAAATATTCTCATTCAGCAGATAAATTATCATTCTAAATAATTCTAAACTTTATCAACATTTTGTTTCAAGCGGCATTTTATTTACAAAATGTAAAAAGGAGAAAAGATTAGTTATATTTTGCAATTAAAAAATTATGCAGGTGATATCATAAATTATAAAGTTATACAATTAGCGAAGCGTACAAATAGTTCATTCAAATTAGTGTAACAGTTTCAATATTTAAACATTAATTAACAGTGTATTATACATACTTATTAATATTTGCACACATTATTTTTTATTTTTCTGCCAAGGTTTGTTTATTGAAAATAAAATCAGAAAACTATTGTCATACATGGTATTGGATATACCTTTTAATAAAAAGTGCGATTATTAAAATAACATGCTTCAAAAAAGAAAAAGAGAAAATATGTAATTCCGCCATCAAACTATTGGTTTTGAAATTTGTTTATGTAGTCAACAAGAAATGACACAATTCGTTATTTGATACTTACACGAACTTCACAACGGTCATTGAAAAACTGGCATGTTGAAATTTTCAAGTTTGACAATGACATTATGGTGACCTTATATTTCTTTTTAATTTACCCATGTCAAATATAAATTTTTCTTAAATTTTGTACAGATAAATGATGCTTTCCTTGAAATAAAATGTCGACCGTTGCTCCGTTCGGTGTTCTTCTTTTTATATTTTTGCATTGAAACAATTTTTATTTTTCAACCTCTCGGGATGAATTGCACGGACGTGCATATCTGGCTTATAGGCGACAACTTTGTTAAATTGAACCAATTTGTCACATTTCAAAATATTTAGCCTTTTACTGAAAATGTTGGAATAAAGAATGTTAAGCACAAAATTCTTCAGGCGACTTATTAAAAGGGCTTTCCATGAAATTTCTTTAAATTATTTAAAGGTGTTTAGATGCATATGAATTGATCAATCTTTTGAAAATTGAATTTCGAAGGCGTTCATATTTGCTGCTTCAATTAGTGAACAAGGCAAGGTCTGTTTATGTGGCAGTAATCCGGTTTAAAATAGTACTTATCATCATTTGTGGCTATAATACTCGGCGTTGATATTTGTTTGTTTAATAGAGATGAAATAATCTGTGATTATTTTCCCGTTTACTTATCTTTACTATTCACTGAATTATCTTCATACGATAGCATTTTTAATAATAATTTATGATATTTTCTCTTACATAATAATATATTCATGACATATTTTTGTTTTAATTCAGGTTCAGATGATGTTCAAATATTGGAACCAGAATGCCTTGCTAATGGAAAAGCATGTGAATGTGGCAGAAATCTAACATTATCTTGTAAGTTAAGGATTAACACATTTGCCATTGCTTGGATGAATGAAAACGATATCACACCAATTGCACAGTGTGTAAGAAACAATTGTGCAATAAACTCTGGATACATTCACGAGTACACTATTTCATACGATAAGACAGAATACATCTTCAACTTGACGATAATTAAGTTAACTATGAAAGACAATGGAAGAAAGATGGTGTGTTCAGATGGTACCAGTACTGACACAAAGTTTATTAGAGTCAGAGGTAAGCATAACCAATTGATTATTATTTTTTTCTTTTTTAAATTTGTTTTGCTATGTTAATATACAACAGCGTAATTAACAAAATACATAATTTAATGCATGTGCTGTGATTCATAAACTTCACCAACACGACCACCTTCATCAGCATCATCACTACCAACAATTCATTTCATTAAAGCAACGTCAAAATTAATGGGAAAAATAATTCTGATTGTGTGAGTAACATTGTAAAGATGAAACAAAAAACAACAACAACAAACAAACAAATAAATACAGAAACAAAACAATAACACATTTTCAATGCTGTATTTATTACATGGTGACTGTTACTTTGTTGTCCAAAACGAAACGATAAAAAGAATTATAATTGAAACAAATCATTTAACAAAATTTGGGCCTTCCGTCTTACTTCTTGAGTTATCTGCCCTTTTACTCATATAGGTCACATTCAGAAGCAGATAACTACCAAACATATTGATTCCTTAGTTTATTTCGTATTATTTTGTGTTATTTCAATTAAGTTATTATGCAAAATTTATGACAATTCAGTCGAAAAGATTATTTTGCATTATGAGAGAAAATAAAGTAACTTAGTACACAAATATAATATGAAATGATGTTTTGCTTGCCAAGTATTAGATTTATTATACCTCTTACCTTAGTAATGGTTTAAAAAAGCAAAAAACACTCACTTTCAGTTGAAGATTTCCTTTTTACTGGTTATACACGTGTATTTCAAATAATTTTAGAGATGATATTTGATTGTTTTGATATTTTTTCACTTCGATATACTTTGGGTGATATAGATTTTATCACATGGATAAAAACCCAGTATCTCTCTTGTTAGCATAAAAAAATGTATGTGCATCATAATAATTCCAACTTATTCAACAGAATGGCAATGTTAACAGACACAAATACAGTAAAAATTTTTATATATAAACAACAAAAGTCTGGTTTAGGCTAATATGCCATTGACGCAAAATATAATTACAAGATCTTGAGTAATACAATGCAATACACAATACAAGACATATTTTAACATAATATAACATAATAAATTACATTATCAGAACTGTATGATACCAGTTACATTTTATTTTATATAAAAACCACTACTGTATATTTTCATACCTGTATATTTTCATACCTGTATATTTCTTTGATATTTTGTCTTATCATATGTTCTTGTTACTACAAATCAATGGTAATAATTTGTTAACTTGTATCATTATAATATGGTCATATATGAATGTTTATAATGATTAGTATTGCTAACGTCATACAAATGTGTACATGAAAATTATGTAACATAATGCGTTGTATCGGAAATGAAATTACAAGACCATTATTAGAATGACGCATACAAGGGAAATAACCATACCAATTATTGTGTAAATAATAATCAAGATTTGTTTACCTTTATCTTTTGCATGATAAAATTGTAACACGAATTGAAAATTCTTTCAATCTTAACAAGAGCGTAAGAAGAAAAGAAAGGTGAAATGATACATTTATAGGTACCAAACAAAGTTTGAAAAAAGGAAAATGACTCTAAAAGTATAGAAGAACATATGAAAATTCACAAATGAACTTTTGAGACTGATGGCATACATTTATTTATTACTCTCTGAGAATGTATTGTAGATTCTTTCCGAATCTCGGAGGCTTTATAGATAAACTTTGCTAAAGTTCATACAATTAGTACAGCTGACAGTCTTAGTCTGGTTAAAGCTGTCAAGTTTTTCCTTATAATAACCTTTTTCAGATAAGAACTATATTTAAATTTTGCAAATACTCTTTCTTCTGATGATAAATTTATACGACTTGTCCATTCTTTAATAAAAGCATCTTAAATTCTTTGTTTTAGCTTTGATAAGAACAATATTTGGTTATCTACAGCTTGAGCTTGCCAAGCTTCGAAAAATTGTAAATTTCCAAAAACGTCTCTGACTGGAGATGCCCAATTTGTTTTTCTGTTGTTTTTTTTAAAAAATTTTAATGTTACTAAACATTTGCAAGTAAATCAATCTAATACATTTTCGTTCATTGTTTCTTGATTACTTGTAAGTTTAACCAAGTTTTTATAATTCTCAAAGTACGCATCAGTTCTACCAAAATCATTCTGAGTAGAAGTTTTAACATAAAGTTTAGATTTACAAAATATAATGTGAATTCTCTCTATTTGTGGAGCTTTAGTGAAACACATACCTCAGCTCCGTAAAAGAGACTTATTAAATAATTCTTACATGTTTTCAATTGTAATATTAGAGTTTTTTTGTACAAAAACATTCTTAACCTAAACCTAGCTTTCTGTGCTTGACTAGATTAAGGATTTATTGGTCTCACTAAAAGAACCACCTATGTAAAATAATACCTATATATGAAAATTTATTTACTATTTATAAAGCATATCCATCATAAGAAAATTGAAGATTTTGTGGTAGGCGGTCCCCTCTCATAATAGAACCAACCAGGTAGTCCAATTGATATAGTTTATACCAAATGTTTTCTCTTACTAGATTTCTAATGCTTTTGAAAAAATTATGAATGCACAAAACAATTGTTTATCATTATTAATAATATGATTAATCAAATTATGTTAAACAAAAAATTGTCAGTGAGATGCCAATTTTGGCTCTGAATCTCGCTTGTTATTCTACGTAAACGAAATAATGTTCTGCCAAATATGTAAGCCTGGTGTTTATCAGACGTTTGAATAATTTTTCAAATAACGCTTAAAAAGATTATACCGGTACAATTTTCAGCTTCCGACAAGCTACTTCTTTATGTATAGCAACTATTAGACCTTTGCTCCACTTTTTAAAAAATACCCAAGACATAAAGGTTTGTTGAAAAGAGTTTTAAAAATGGCCAGCTAAAACTATTTTCCATGAATAAGAAATTTGTACAATATTCTGTCCTGGGCCCCGCTCTTATTCAAATTCAGATATGATATGCCCTTCAAAATATCTAAAGGAGTAAACGGTACATCTTACTAAAAAACATCAGTAAACTCTTGTTTAACTTTCTCGTTAAAATATAAAACATCGTCGTCGGCTTAAAAAAAATGAGTCCTCACGATTATAATTTACTTTGAAATAAATCGTAAAAGTATCTAGAGATATGTCCTTTGGTGCAACTTATTCCTTAAGCATTCGCCAGTGAAATCTAACATTTTTTATCTTTGGCATTTAGCCTTTTTTCAATGTTTTGTTTGTCTTATTTATAATTTAAATTCTTAACATTATTCATATAAATACTTCTTCTTCTTCTATCATTTCCTCTTTATTTATATCATTTTTATTATGTCTATAGTTATTAAAATTTTGGTAAAAGTCTTTTCTGTTATTGTTACAACTATCATTGACTTGTTTTGATTAATAAATGTTATTCAATTTGATTTGAGCATTACATTTAACTGTTTTTTTTCCAACATTGGTGAATAAACTTGATCGAAACAAATAGCAAAACACTTAATATTACAGTCAATATTACCATAACATTGAGCATCTACAGATTGATTTAAGTCATTTATTGCAGAAAGAAACCTCTTCACTATTAATTTTTCAACATATAAATCGTTATAATTTATAACAGCTATTGAGTTAATTAAACCCTGGTTCGTTAGGGATATTAACAACATCAGTGATTGGATACATATTGCCTATCACGATGAACTCAAGCAAACAATGGTCAGATAATTAATTAGATTCATGCATTAAATGATTTAAATTTTGTTTACAATTGAATATCAACAATACCATAATCTACTACACTTGACCCAAAGTATAAGACCCCGACTGTTTAGGATAACCTACCCACCCAATAGCTATTTTAAGCCGTGTTTGCTTTAAAAAGTCAAGCCGTAGATAGCCATCTGAATTAGTATTTTCATCCTGTGAACCCCCCCAAAAAAAAAAAAAAAAAAAAAAAAAAAACAAAGTAAAGATACATCAGCTATATAATCATCTGAAAGTAAATCACAATTAAATAAAATATCAGTATCATCAACAACGTAATCGGGTTAGAAACCAACCCTCGAGTTAAAATCGCTCAAGAGCATAAATGTACAATTTTCATCTGCATACATGTTTCGAATGTATAAAATACTGTCTATTATTTTGTATTCATATATAATGCTCTAAACTTGCATATTTCTGCTTAAAATGTGTTGGTACAATTTAACATAAACAAAGAAAAAGGTTTTTCCTAAATTTTAAAATGCTGAGGTTGAAATCCTTACCATAAATTTGAATCGGAATAATAAAACAAAAACATATTTTTTGTCACAAATTTGTTCTATCATAAATCAGTACATCACTTGAATTCCTGGTCATTCCTTTTAGTTTTGCATTAGTTCTCTATTAAAGAAAAAATGTTGAAGTCTTTACACATAAAAAATCATGTTCGAAACTCCTCCATGTTTCCGTAAAATAAATTATGTTTTTTTTGTTAAATATCTTTTCGCTGATTGGCTAATGATGTCGACCTAGATTTTGGCATACCACGCGATGTTTTTTACTTCCTTTTAAGGTTTGTTTCATCTGTTTTCTCATGACAATGTCGACATTGGGTGGATAACGGAATGTCACTAATATTTTACGCTTGTTCGTTGCATTGTTATTGCGGTGATTGTTTCATGCCCCAAGACGCCCAGCTGATTTAATGGACAAGTCATTATAGTCAATATACATTTTCTGTTTATAGAAATCATTTAAGTAATCATATATTGCATATGTGCCCTTGTATCTCTGCTTAAGGCCATAAATTATCACATTTTCTCTTCCGATTTTCTAAATTAATGACTTTGTATGAAGGAGCTCTCAAATTGGTGTTACGTATGTCGAATACTGTTTACATTTCGGATTTGACCATATAAATCCGTGAAATTGACAAATCTTTTCCTTTATCTATATTGATCATTTTCATACATAACACATTCAGCTTTTTGTTCGGGATCGCCGTTTCATAGGATTCAATATTGACGCTACCAGTCTTCACCCGTTTATGTTTTCCTGCTGACCACTGACCGTTACCCGCAATTTTTTCCGCCATTTTGTTCATATACCGTAACTGAGAGTTACCTGAGTTTTAAAATAAAGTTTCCTTTTAAAAGGAAAAGCTTGCACAGTTGTGCTTTCATCCCAACCCTTTAAAATTGTTTTTTTTTGTTTCAATTTATTATCACATTTTTTTTTGAATTACGGTATTTGTATATCATAAAGGGTTTATTTAGTTGTTTTTTTTGTTGTAAAAACGAATATTTTTTGTCAAAACGATTTAAAATCTATTCTCTATTGTATAAAACTAATAAAGAAAATAATCAATCGTAAAAATACTAACGTGGAGATTTATCTATCATACTGAAGGGAAACAAGTGTGCACATTTCATTTCCACTTTTTTTGCAGAGAATCATTCGTTTTGGCAGTATATAGCATCTTTATAGACAAGTAAATGCACAAAAATACTTCGTTACGTGGTACCGATTAATAAGCATGTATCAACTATGTTACACGATCACAGATACGATGCGCTATCTGTAGATCAGCACGTGGTAATGTTAATGATATGCATGGGCTATTTTTAGATTACATCACCAAGACGTTGCATTGCGTTCAGTAGATCTAAATATAACTCGATCATGTACTAATATTCTGCGTGATTTGGTAAGCAGGACCACCCTTTGAAGACGGAATACTACAACAGTCACCATTCTCTATTGTATTAAACTAACACAGACAAAAAACATTTATAAAAGAAACTAAATTTTGCGTCTTGAAAAAGAATTGAAACGGAACAATTTCGTTTATAATATATTACGGTTTAAACCGATAAATCAATTAAAAACAGAAATCCTATTTATATAAACAAACTGGGATTACCGAAGTTACTAAAATAGCTTAGATTTCCGTAATATTACTTCGTCTGATTCCGCAGTATGACGGAATCGCCCGAATTGTCACGATTGCAATCGGAACTACATCGGCTATTATCATTAATCCGAAGAGTGACGGAAAAGGCCGAAAAGTTGCGATTGGCACGATTGCAGCTGGTTTCCCGTTCAATCATGCACTAACAAATGTAAGCAGGAAACCACCTAACCGGAACAAGTTTGCAGCCAATAAATCCTTTTTTAAGCAGCGCGTCTACGCTAGAACTCATAAGTTTGGATATTTACTCTTTACAATATTTGAGTGTCTTACTTCTTCCATAGTCACATAAATTGCATATTAAACATTAAACCCCTTTATAACACTGTAACAAATTGAAAATTATGAAATTTAAGTATACCATCTCAGTTAAACTATTTGAACAGATATACCAATAACTTAAAAGGTGAGATTGAAATTTTTTATCACAGTAAAGGAAAATGTAATGAATGGTTTGTAATTGTGTAGAGGCTTGCTAAAAAAAATTCATGAACTTATTTGATAATTTGCTTTTATTACATGATAACGAATCTGAGATATATTGTAAGATAATTAATCCTAAATCTGAAAATCGTGTACCTTAATTTGCAAAATAATCAAACTAAATACAGAATTGATATAATGTTACTTTTAATACATTTTAATGACTTTTCAAGCTATGTTGTTTTGCATAAAACATGCTTACGACTGACGCTTACAGGTAGCAAGCAAGTTTTGACCTCACCTCTTTAAATGTATGGTATGTTTCGTCTAATTGATCTAGATTTAATGTAGATTCAGTACACACCAAATATGCTTTCTAATATTACAAGGAGTGACCAGTCAGCTAAGACTGAGGTCAACTGGTGGTCAATATATATACGGTAAAACCTGTATTATAGACCAACTCTGACTAACGAATATCCTCTTAATAAAAACCACTCTTTGACAAACCTTCATTGACAAAAATACAATAGAATAATCTCCGAATAAAGACCACTTATCTATAAAGGTTATGACTTGTCTCTCATTTGAAAAGCCTTTAGTCACAGGGTTGACTACAAACATATATGATACTTTAAAGTCCGCTGAGATTTGTCAAATTGTTTTTGAAAAACAGTGCAATTTGCTGCAGCGGAAAACTATTGTATGGAATTTTCGGTTGTCAAAATAGTTGAACAGCATCAGTACGCGTAAATTGCGATGTGAAACAATAAATGCGGTCACGCCTTATTAATGCTAGTGAACAGATAAAAAGTAAAAGGAAAGAAATAAAGGAGACTTTACGACATTTAGATATATGTCGAAGTTGTAAAACAATACGTCATGTAAACGACTTGCTAATTAATAACACTCCCTGGTGATAAACGACACCGAGTCAGACCTCTCAGAAGGAAACAAAGGTATCGTAAGGCAGACAAGCTCTGTTTGATAATCGAGCCGTCTTATTTGACCGACAGTTAAACTGAAAAGATGATTATTGCATAAGTAGCGTGAAACGTTTATTTGAAACGTATACATATTTATTAATAAGAAAAATTTCTATTATAGCTAGTATTAGATTAAATTAGAATTTAATAAGTTTACGTTAAACAGAAAAAGATTCTATGTTTGATTATTTTTGATATTTGATTTGTTACAGATATTGAACCTCTTCTGTTTGAAAATACAACAACTGGGACCATACATGCGATATCTGGCTGTGTTTCCGATGGCACGAAAGTTTCATTTAAATGGATAAAGATAGATGTATGTTCCTCCTTATATCATAATAGCTAATATGAAGACTGTTACATAGTTATTCAAATATATCATAAGTGATAATTTTTAGACGGTATTTTCTACGTTGAAAGATAGAATTGATAGGAATTGCTAAGAATATTTCTCAAATGAAATTATCTAAATATTATAATTTTTAAATCTAGAACATTTAAAATTGACGAAATGTCATCCAATGCATGATAAAATGGTGAGATTTAATATTGTTATATTTCAATATAAACCTCAATTGTTGAAGTTTACAAATGACTCATGAAATTTTAAAACACATTGGTTGCTTCTTTTTGAATCACGAATATTTCATTTATTTTTGCTCTTTTCTAGCATTTTGAAAATATGTGATTTTGTGGATAAGATTTATAAAGCCGAACCTTTTACCTTTTAAATTTGACCATTGCAGTCACTTTTCAGAATATCAGGTTTTGACAATGTTAATGTCATGGACGCTCTGTGCAACAGAATACCGGAGGGTGGGATAGAGATGGGTTTTTTTGATTGTGTGTTGGAATGGCCTCGTTGCATAAATATTGTTCTTCCTTTTTGATATCATAATATACTCAGTACCTAACAGTAGCTTCTCGTTTTTCCCTAAATGTTTGAATAATCTTTTTTAGCATGTGTGATATGTCTAAAGTACTATTTATAAAAATTTTAGGCTTCAAATAGACATATGATGGTGAGTTCCATATCTGAAACTAGTACCGGTAACTGGTATCTCCCTATATGCATTCATGTTTAGATCATTTATAATAAAAAAGCATGGATATACCAGCTGATCTTGGTTTGCATGGGTACAATCGATCACAACAGGTTTAACGTTACATTACGTATATTTATTTGCAAATTAAGTGTAGGAAAGCTATAAAACGAAACAGATATTAAGGACAGTCTTGTAAAATCATTCATTCATTTTAGGCAAATAACAAGCGGGAGAAAGAAATCACCCCAAAAATCCAAAACGCAACTGTAACAATTTGTTCGAATGATTCTGATTGCGGGAATGATCAACAAATACAATACTCAGAAGTAATTACCGCCAAGGCTAGTAACAATGGAACTTACTTTCTGAAAATTGTTGCGGATTATGGGAACGAACAAAAAGAGTCGTATCATACAGTTGGAAGATATGAATTGGAAGATAGAGGTAGTATTGACTTTGTTTCTTTCTATAGAATGTTGTGCTATTCAAGTCTGTGTATAAATTTGCTTAGTAATAAATGTCATAAAGTATTGCAAATACGTTTTCGAAATGACAGAGGTACAGACAATCATAGAGGTTTTTGGTTTAATATGTTAAAAACACTATCCCTGCAATTCGAAGATACGACCTAGAGATAATAGGTGTGGAATGTATTTGGTTGGAGATTTTTCTTAGAAATAAGAAACTGCTTTATGGTACTTTCTATCGTCCTCCGAATTATTCCCCTTCTGTGCTCTCTCAAATAGAAATGTCAATCAGTCCCTTGATATGTAAATGATTTTCTTGTAGCTCCATTCGGTGTTAGCTCTTCTTTTTTTTATATAATTGCAATGAAACAGTTTTCAACCTCTCGCAAGGAAATATTTGGCTTATATGCCTTTGCCTTTGTTAACTTGAACCAATTGGTCACATTTCATTGAAAATGAAAAGTCTTCTACTAAAATTGTTGGTGTAAAGAATGTAAATCACGGAATTCAGACTTAAGACGACTTATTAAGAGAGGGGGGGGGGACTTTCATTTGTGTTTATTTAAATTATTTTTAGCTGTTTAGGTGCAAATGAATCGATAAATCTTTTAAAAATTCACTTTTGAAGACGCTCAATATTAATTGATTCACCTGAAAATAAAATAGTGAACAAGGCAAGTTATTTATATGTGGCAGTAATTTGGTTTTAAATTTTACTTTCCCATCATTTATTGCTATGTAACTTGGCTTTGCATTGATATTTGGTTATTAAGTAGAGGTAGCATAATTTGTAAATTAAGAACTTTTCCATTTGTTTCTCTTTACTATTCACTCAATTGATTATATTCAAGTGATTGCATTATTAATAGTTATCACTTTCATGATTTTTGTTTGATTCAGGTTTAAATGGTGTTGATATATTGGAACCAGAATGCCTTGCTAATGGAAGAGCATGTGAATGTGGGCGAGATCTAACAATATCTTGTAAGTTTAGGAATAACACATTTGCCACTGCTTGGATGGATCAAAACGATACAACACAAATTGCACATTGTGTAGGTACCAATTGTGCAATAAACCCTGGATACATTGACCGGTACAATATTTCATACGATAACACAAAGTACATCTTCAACTTGACGATAATCAAGTTAACTATGAAAGATAATGGAAGAAAAATGGTGTGTTCAGATGGAACCAGTACTGACACAACGTTTATTAGAGTCAGAGGTAAGAATAACCAATTGATTTACGTAACATGATCTTTTTCAGGCGTTTTTTTTTTTTTTATATTGTTCGCTATGTTAATTTACAACAGCGTAATCAGCATAGTATGTAATGCAATACATGTGTTGTAATTCGTAAACTTTTGTCACCGAATAAAAAAACACAAATTTGAAATGAAATGATGTTTTGCTTGCCAAGTATTATATTTATCTGCCCTAGGTAATGATTTTTAAAAAGCAAAACCCCTCACTTTCAGGGGAACTTTACTAGTTATAAATGTGTATTTCAGATAAGTATACAGAGGATATTTGTTTGTTTTGAGTGAATATGCTGATAAGTGGGAAATCTGAATATTTTCATTAGCAAGTTAGATAAAACCCAATATCTCTCTGGTTAGCATAAAATAAATTAATGCGCATCAAAGTAAATCCCAAGAAATATAATAGTTATTAATGTCGATATTAACAACCACAAATTCATGTACAGTTTTGAAGCATAGAGAAATATAAGAACACAACCTAAGTTAAACTGTTTGAAAGGTCAAAGAAAAAAGTACAATTGGATATTTTTGTAACTGCTAATAAGGCAAAATATATTGGATTGTTTGTTGCTAAATAAGGTTTCATGAATTTGTTTAATATCTTTTATAATAATTTTATATACGATAAAGAATCTGAGATTCTATATACATCTGTATTGTATGATTATCAGTCCTAAATTTGAAAATCGTGTGCAAAATTTTCAAACTTAATATAGATATAATGTCACTTTTAATACGTTTTAAAGACTTTTTCAAGCTATGCTTTTTTGCATAAATTGGTAAAATATGCTTAAGAATGATTCTTACAGGAAGTATCAACTTTTGACCTGTTTAAATATATGTTTCATCTTTTTAAACTTGATTTAATGTAGATTCAGTATACACCAAAAACGCATTTTAGTTATACAAATGACCAACTATTCAGCTTAGGCAGAGGTGAACTAGTAGTCCACATGTACAGTCAGACCTGTATTTACGACCACCCTGTAAATAAACACCACTCTTTGACAAACCTTCATTGAAAAAAAGACAATAGAATACTCTCCGAATAAATACCACTTATCTATGTTGTCTCCTTTGCATGGCCTTTATTCACATGTTATATGATACTTGGCCGTCCGATGAAATGTGTAACATTATTTTTGTACAACAGTGCTATTCGCTGCATCAGATTGTATGGATTGTTTATTCTCAGCATATTATTTCAAATAAAACGTACTGAAAGCGTTAGGTATTCAAAATTGTTGGACAACATCAGTACGGCGGTCACACACCACTTAATGCTAGTGAATACATAAAAAAGTATTAACATTTATTAGAATAGAAAAGGGTTAATTTTTACAATAATAAAAAAATTACATCTGAATATGTTTTATATATGTTACAGATTACGAACCTCATCTTTTAGAGAATACAACAACTGGGACCATACAGGCGATCTCTGGCTGTATTTCCAAAGCCACGAAAGTTTCGATTAAATGGATAAAAATCTGTGTATGTTTCTTCTTACATTATCACAGTTTAATGTCAGTGCTGTCATAAGAATTAAGGTTAAAGTAATTCAAATTTATCATAAGTGGTGATGAATACGTTTTAGATGGTATATTCTATGTTGACAGAACGGAAATAAAGTACTAAAAATTGTCAAATTGAATTATTTTAATATTATACTCAAGTAAGTAAATATTTAATTGACTAGATGCCATAAAAAGTCATGTGGTTGAAGTATTTATATTTTATATAAACTTTCAGTTGTAGAATCATGAAATTTCAGAACAAAATCAGTTTCTACTCTTTGGATCATGAATATTTCAGTTATTTTTGTTCTATTCTAGCATTTTAAAATGTGTGTCGATAAGATATATAAAACTTAGCCAACATCAAATGGCAACCTTTAGAAATCTTAGTTTGGCCATTTTAATGCCCTTTCCCGGGGTGCTCTGCGAAACATGATACCGATTGGTTGACTAGAGATGGGGTGGGGACTGTGTGATGGAATAGTTTTATTTTTAAATGTTTGAATAATCTATTTTGGAATGTGTGATATGTGTAAAGTTCTACATGTATCAGTTCTTTTGGCTTCAAATTAACATGTGTTGATGACTTCGATATCTGAATGGGTAACTAGTATCTTCCTATACGCATTTTTGTTTACATTATTTATAATCCGAAAGCATTGATGTACCGGCTTATCTTGGTCTGAATGGTTGCAATCGATTGCCCTCAACTGGTTAAGAATTGATATAGATGTATTTGATTACAAAAATGTGAAGTGAATGTCTGTAACAAGTAAACTATAAACTGTAACAGATAAATAAATTAATTAATTAATCAATCAATCAATTCAGCCAGTCAGTCAGTCAGTCATTAATTAATTAATTAATTAATTAATTAATTAATTAATTCATTCATTCATTCATTCATTCATTCATTCATTCATTCATTCATTAATTAATTAATTAATTAATTAATTCATTCATTGTAGGCACGTAGCAAGGACGAGCAAGAATTCATCCCAAAAATCCAAAACGCAAGTATAACAAGTTGTTCGAATGGTTCTGATTGCGGTAATGATCAACAATTTCAATACTCAGAGGTAATTTCCGCCAAGGCTAATGACAATGGAAATTACTTTCTGAAAATTGTTGCGGATTATGGTGACGAACAAAAAGAATCATATAACACCGTGGGAAGATATATACTAAAAGATAGAGGTAGTATCAACTTTGTTTCATTCTTTTGATTGTTCAGGTCTTTATAAACATTGCTTAAGGTATAAATGACACTTTTTCAAAAGTCCATAATTCTTAATGTTATTACATTTTATCATATATCTGTCAATAATACAAAAGTTTACTGTCTTGTTTGAAAAATATTGACGATTTAAGCTAAACGTTTGTTTAAATCAACAAGTATGTGTTTATCATTTTGACAACAGCTTTCATTATTGCATCTTCAGAAGTGTAGCCGATAGCGTCCATTTTTAAGCAGCGAGAAATTTAACCGTCCGTTTATAATATGTCGCGGGCAACTTTTAAATCCGCGAGTTTTTATGTCAAAATTGTTTAAAATATCGCAACTAATAAAAACTCTCGAGTTTTTCTATCACACTTCTGTTGTAAAAAGTCGAGTCTAACGAACGAAACTGCGACATTTTCTGTCTACATATTAGATTAAGCCATGCATATGCATACTTTAGGATGCCGATTGCGGCCATTATAATTTTTGTTTTGATGCATACGTGGTAAAAAGTCGAGTTTGAGCATTCATCCTCGACTTATTGCCAGGAAATGACTCTGCGCAAAAAGTCGCGGCTATAAAGTCGCGGATTTCTTACTAAAATCGATAAATACAGAATCCCTAAAGAAAGCCCAACACGGCAAAATTGAAAATGTTGCAGGCTCGGTTTGATTGAGCCTGTTCATGGACGGTACTGGAAAGTGCAAGTTACCGTCCACGCCCCCTAGCACCGGCTTAAGCAGAATTCAACATTTAAACGTGAAATAGTAAAATTTTGAATTTAGAAACATCCGCAGATGTGTTCATACGGCGGTTATCATGGAGCCTTCAATGTGACACTAACGTGCCATTCCATGAAAAGCGGCGTATGGTCCCCAAGTAAAAAAAGCATGTGCCCTAAACGAGAAAACAATGGGCGGAACTAAATAAAATGGAATTTTGGAAGGGGATCAGAGGTTATGAAGCCTGCGTATCACAGATAGACGTCAAAAGGCAAATTTAAAAAGCAGGCAACATATCCTAAGGGTGATTCAACATTATTCAAGTAGGAATATTGGAACCACCCAACTAGAAAATGCCGAAAAGTTGAAACTAAAAATACCACAAGCACATCAATAATGCCGTGCCGAACGATCTTCAAGGATCGAAAATATGTACGGGGAGACTTTTTACAGCCGCCACACGGCACAAATAACACGGATGTGATCATAAAATCGATAAATACAGAATCCCTAAAGAAAGCCCAACACGGCAAAATTGAAAATGTTGCAGGCTCGGTTTGATTGAGCCTGTTCATGGACGGTACTGGAAAGTGCAAGTTACCGTCCACGCCCCCTTGCACCGGCTTAAGCAGAATTCAACATTTAAACGTGAAATAGTAAAATTTTGAATTTAGAAACATCCGCAGATGTGTTCATACGGCGGTTATCATGGAACCTTCAATGTGACACTAACGTGCCATTCCATGAAAAGCGGCGCATGGTCCCCAAGTAAAAAAAAGCATGTGCCCTTAACGAGAAAACAATGGGCGGAACTAAATGAGATGGAATTTTGGAAGGGGATCAGAGGTTATGAAGCCTGCGTATCACAGATAGACGTCAAAAGACAAATTTAAAAAGCAGGCAACATATCCTAAGGGTGATTCAACATTATTCAAGTAGGAATATTGGAACCACCCAACTAGAAAATGCCGAAAAGTTGAAACTAAAAATACCACAAGCACATCAATAATGTCGTGTCGAACGATCTTCAAGGATCGAAAATATAACATCATTGATTAAATGTACGGGGAGACTTTTTACAGCCGCCACACGGCACAAATAACAGTCGCGGGTAAAATATCCGCGACTTTTAGCCGCGACTTTTATGAAAAAGTGGCCTATAATTTTTCCCCTCGATTTTGTAGAATTTCTACAACACTTGCAAAAAATGTCGCGGATTCTTTGTTTTCCTCGACTTTTTATGGACAAACGAGGGAAAAGATGTAGAGTCCAACAATGGACGCTACCGGCCACTGAAGTCAAAATGTGCCTTGCTTTTTCGAAGAATTGTTATTTAATATCGTTGTTTATACGTCCCCCGCGACATTTTGTATGATTTCGACAGAAAAGCTCGCGGATATTTTATGATACAACGATAAAATTTCTCGCGAGTTTTAAAAAATGACCGGCCACCATAAGAAACACTCATTGTTTTGAAATGAAAAGAAACAAAACCACAGAAAAGCATATCTGATAAAAATTATTTGTTTATTGTTACACGTATGTGTCAGATTTAATAAAAAGGAGTGACCGGTAATTTATTTCAACCTTCAATGGGGCAATCTTGTATATTCATAAAATTATTATCTAAATACAATTTCGAACATTTGTGCAAAAATTAAGGGAGGTTGACCAGCTAGATTTGGATATATAATCATTTTAAAACTTTATTTTACCATTTTAAGAATTCTTTAAAATTTAAAGCAGAATAATTTGAAATCTTCACATCTCATAAATATCAATAATGAAAAAGGTAAAAAATTATTGATCAGACTAGTTTCAATTTTGATATATTATCATTTTAAATCATACAACTACCCTATTTTCACTCACGTAACTCTAAAATGTGAATTTCAAATTTGCAAATATATTTTATTTCAATGATTTACAAAATATATAAATAAAACTCCATGATCTTACGAGATAAAAAGAATGATAAAGAATAACAAAAAAAGGTTGGTTCTCAGTAGGGTTGGAACCCACCCACATGCAAACTCTGCATTCTAAATGAAAATGACTACTATTCAGAAAAGAGGTTTTGCGTTGAATATCATATACCTTAATTATAAATGTCATTGAGTATCGCAAATAATTATAACTATGAGCAGAGCTTAAACAGTGCATGCTTAAAAATGCAACATAGAACCAATATAGAGACATTGTTATTATTGGTAAAGTTAAACTACTACATTTGATTAACTGATCAATGACTTGAACCTTTTATAATATTTATAAGATGTTAAGATTTCAAATGATTCTGCTTTACGTATTAGAATTGATAAAGTGAAACAAAATTATATTTTAAAATATCAAATTTTGTAAATCAAATGCATAGCATATTGAAACATAATTCATTGAGTAGGACAACCACACTTCCCTTTTTTAGAAAGCATGCTACTTATATTGAAATCATTTATGTTTATTGGATTCCTCCCATCAACATTACAACAGTAATCAAAGTACACTGAATGTACTGATGGGGAGGCTATGACAGAATGTTTCAGACTAATAGTTTCTTTTCTTTTTGCTTAGAATATGCTGTAATTTCAATTATTACCAAAATAAGAAGATCTGTCCATTGCGCCATTTATCCATACTGTTGTATTCAACCATTTATATAATATATATATGGTTGATATGGTGGACTAATTATTTTGTTAATATTCCAGAACTTTTCATTAAGGTCTACATTCGGACTGTTAATCATGCAAATTTTGAAGAACCCAAACTGCCAATATTAAATGACATACCAGCAAGTATGACGACTGTTCATTCTAATATCACAATACCATTTTGCAACTGACGGTTACTTATCACAAAATTCTAGGACTGTTCATCATGCCGGGCCATTCATCATTGAATGATAATAACAACTGCAAGTTATGCAACATTTTTATTGAACATAAAAATTATAGATTTTTACATGTAACATAATTGAAATCAATAAAGATACTGTCTTGTGATGAGTATTAATATTCATGCTCCACAGACAGAAAGATGTCTTCTCCCGATGCAAACCTCGAATAACATCAAGTTTCAAAAGAAAATTTTTTCCATTTCATTACCTGTCGCCGACTTTGACGGCTTCAGATTTTTATTAAAGCTTACTACATGTATTTCTTTAAAAAATACATATCTGCAAAGCTTATTCAAAATTAAATTAATCTAAGTGAAAATTGATCAGGAAGTTATATCTTATTTTTTACCGCCAACACTCAACAAACTTATGGTAGTTTATCTATAGAATCTATTTTAAACCTCACTAGCTCGGAATATGTACTGCTTAACAGGGTTTGCGATTAATCCCTCTTATCCCGGCGATTATTTTTAGAACACAAAAAATAAGTCTTTGATTTTATTTATTCAAATTATTGTGAACATTAATCAATTCAGCGGCAAATGTCGTTTTCAAATTAAAGTTTCGTAAAATATGTTGATGAATTCCCGATATACGACTGTAAGTCATTCGTGTATACATGTGTTTTACGTTGCTTGTTGTCTTTTAAAATAGCTTCTTATTCTTCATTTTTTAACTCATCTGTCACTTTGTGACAGGGTGAGCTTTTGTGATCGCTTTTCGTCCGTCGTCCGTCCGTCCGTCGTCCGTCCGTCGCCCGTCGTCCGTAAACTTTTACTTTAAATGACATCTCCTCATAAACCACTAAGCCAATTTCATCCAAATTTCACAGGAATGTTCCTTTGGTGGTCACCTTTGAAAATTGTTCAAAGAATTTAATTCCATGCAGAACTCTGGTTGCCATGCCAACCGAAAGAAAAAACTTTAAATATCTTCTTCTAAAAAACCCAAAGAGCTAGAGCTTAGATATTTGGCATGAAACATCTTCTTGTAAGTGTCTACTAAGTTTGTTCAAATAAAAGCCCTGGGGTCAAAATTGGCCCCGCCCCAGGGGGTCATTGATTTTTCCTATATGCATATAGTAAAAACTTAAAAATCTTCTTTTACAGAACCCAAAGTGCTTGAGCTAAGATATTTAGCATGAAACATGTTCTAATGGATGTCTACCAAGTTTGTTCAAATAAGAGCCCTAGGGTCAAAATTGGCCCCGCCCCAGGAGGTCATTGATTTTCCCTATATGAATATAGTAAAAACTTAAAATCTTCTTTTAAAAAACCCAAAGAGCTAGAGCTAAGATATTATGCATGAAACATGTTCTAATAGATGTCTACCAAGTTTGTTCAAATAAGAGCCCTGA